GAAGAAACCAAAACTGAAGACATTTTTCAACTTTCGAAGTTAAATTTTAATATTCCTTATTTCGACCTTGATGTAAATAATTAATCATTTATTGTGTGCATGTTTTTTTTTTCAATTTTACTTATTCAAATTTAAATTAGTACTGGTACTCATGTTCTAAATATAGTCGTCAAAATTAGATCTGTGATAGATCATTGAACTTTGATTACGAAAAATGTAATAATAGTGATCTAGTGATAAATATTTTTCTTATGTGTTTTTTTTTGTAAACTACATGCAATTGCATTTGGTATAAATCTACCTACTGGTATTACATACTTTTATTTCGGGGATAGTTTATGAATTTAAAAAATTTCACATACCTATTTCTAAATATTTCTTTTATATTTAAATCCTGGCTGATTACCTGGACTTGATATAATTAAACATTTTATTAAACTTATGTTGTTTAATTTCCCAGAATAGGTTCCATTAAAAATGTAAAGTGTGGTAAGGTATACCAAATTCTCTGGTCAAAAATTAATTGTTTATTTCTTGAATTTAGAGTACCTACTGAGAAGCTGAAGGCACCAGTTTCGTCTGTATGACACTGGTAACCCAACCTGGGATATAACTAGCTAGCTGAGGATTGCTAAGGTGTTCAATTTTAATTTGGTACAACGTTTTACTTGCCATCCCAACATAAACAAACGTCATAACTTCTACGATTAAATGAAGTGTAATTATGACGGAAACAAAATTATTAATATGCAATTTAATGACAAAGGGATAAACACTGTCATAGACGACACACGCCTACTTGGAATAAATATAAAAAAAACGCAAAAAGTAGTCTACTAAAAGATTATTTTCGCTATTAAATACTTACACATCAAAAGCGATTAGTGGAGTGTAATTATGACGGAAACAAAATTATTAATATGCAATTTATTATCTACAAAAGATTATTTTCGTTATTAAATACTTACAGATCAAAAGAGACCCCATATAGTTTGAAAGAGAAAAAAAATTCTTTTTTAATTAAACCATAACCAACTATGATTCCCTCTTAAAAAAAATACAGCTTTATGCTGTAAATCGCAATTGCACCTTTTTTCATTTTCTCGACGCCACTGTATCATACAGAAAAAAGTGCCTAAAGAATGTAAAAGTTGTTTTTTCATAACTTTACAAACAACCAAGATATTGACATGTGCCTAAAAGTCGAAAAATCGAACTTTTGTTTATGGTTATGGTTAGTAAAAAAAGTTAAGTGAGTATGGTGTGGTGGAAAAAGCCTTGACATGGATTGAAAATTATTTAGATAACAGGTACCATAAGACCAAAGTTAATAGTAAGACATCTACTAAAATTCTCAGTTCATATGGGGTACCTCAGGGTAGTGTATTGGGGCCCTTATTATTTATTATATATGTGAATGACATGAATCATATCCTAAAAAACTCATATGTAAACCTTTTTGCGGATGATACATTAATTTCTGTGTCTGGAAAGAGTCATATTGAAATCACGAATATAATGAATGGAGAGCTTTGTATACTATATAAAAGGCTATGTGCAAATAAATTGGAACTCAATAATGAAAAAACCAAATGTATGGTCCTTGGAACTAAAAATAACTGCCAAAAGTATATAAATGGTCAACAGGTTTTGCACATCAATAATACAAAAATTGAAATTGTAAGTGAAATTAAATACTTAGGAATTATCTTAGATCAACAGTTAACATTTTCAAAACATGTTGATTATTTATGTAAGAAAATTGGCAAAAAGATCTCCTTCTTTAGAAGAATTTCTGCCGACTTAACGCAATGGTCAAAATTAATTATATACAATACTATAATCTACCCACATTTTAATTATTGCTTTTCACTATTAATATCATGTAACACATTAGATATTAAGAGGTTACAAGTGTTACATAATAAAGGAATGCGTGTAATATTAAGTTGTGACAGGTACACACCTATCTCGACTATGTTAAACCAACTGGGTTGGATTTCAGTGGAGCAAAGTATTGAAAGAGCAAATTTAATTTTAATATATAAAATCGACAAAAATTTAGTACCTACCTACCTTAAACACTTTTTAGTTAAAAGATCTGAGTTGCATAATTATTCAGTGAGATCTGCTGAAAATTACAACATAGATCATACAAAAATATCTTTCTTAAAAAAGTCAACATTTAGTGATGGATTACGTATGTACAACGCTTTGCCCACTGAAATAAAATCATGTGGTAATTTAAAACTGTTTATTAATAAATATAGTTTAAAAAAACTAAAAAAACACGCTTTTAAAGCACATCAAACTAAAAAAGTGAAAAATAATTATTAATATAAACTGAAAATAATAATGAACGAAAAATACTAGTATTATTGTGAAAAAAGCGTGGGGCGCTTTGTGCAATATTTTTCGTATATCGAGCACCCCACGCTTTTTTCACAATAATACTAGTATTTTTCGTTCATTATTATTTTCAGTTTATATTAATAATTATTTTTCACTTTTTAGTTTGATGTGCTTTAAAAGCGTGTTTTTTAGTTTTTTTAAACTATATTTATTTTTAACTTTTTAGTTTGATGTGCTATGAAAGCGTGTTTTTTAGTTGTTTTAAACTATATTTATATTGCTTATTGATGCTGATATTATAACATATTACGATCCAACAGATATTTCTGAAAAAAAAAAAAAATTTTTATTTCAGCCGTGAGGTTCCAACTCACGCCGGAGGAGTCAGTCGTTTCGCGTCGACTGCCTTAACCCACTCGACCACCGAGCTAATTAACAATTACTGAATCTACTGACATATTAAGCCTTTGCTTTCACGCAGGGATACGTGAGGAAAGGATTGGCGATCCTGATCGGGATAATGATATAAACTTATCAAATTATTGTATTGTTACCGGTTCTTCGTAAGTGTACAAAGTTTCAATTAAATCTGTCCGTTTAAAGTGGGTTAAAATCGAGTCCAAAGAGTCGGTTACAAACAAACATACAAACAAACAAGCAAACATACAAGTGAAGCTAATAAAAGCGTGTTAAAAATGTAACTAAATTATATACAGATGTTAGATTATAAAATAAGGAATAACTGTGTACAAGTCATGTGGTATTGTAAATAGCTTATGCTAAATAAACTCATTCTATTCTATATTCTAAACTCGAAAACAAAAGATGATGGAAAATTTTTGTTTCCACCAGTGAATTTGTCTCAAAAAAAAAGAGATCGAAAATGTGTCTTCCATTTTTTTTGTATCTCTTGCAGTTGCCGAGTTACCCTATACAAACATTGAAATTTTCCCACCCTGTACAGTGTATAACATGCTCTTGTCCATGCTTTTAAAATAACAACTGTGAACTGTAATCCTTTACCACCATGTATATGGTAAGTAAATAAAAAGTTGAGTGTATCTTCAAAGAGCACAATTAAAGCAAAGTAAAACTATGTAAATTCCTCTCTATCTAATTAATAAAACAAAATTTATTGAGCAGTTTGATCATGTTTTACTTCACACCTCCTAAGTTATGAGGAAATTACCGCTGCGCCGAAGCAACGAAACGGTGACAGAAAGTGTGGAGTGGACATTGACAGAGCATTGAACTTATTCTTGGGATACTGCAAGAAGTACACTTCAATATCTCATCAATATAATAATTATTATAGCTACTCCAACCCGATATTACAATTATGATAACGATACCTTAAGTGACAAACAGATTTACGGAGTTCATTAATATTAGATTTAATTAATTTAGAATGCCAGTATTTTATTCATCTAGAAGCAAATCATATAAAACGAATGAAGTCTTATTTGAATGCTACACTATTTCATGTTGATTGTTTATTAAGACAGGTAACATCTATAACTACTGATTTATTCAACAACCGTCTTACATAAAGTTATAATAATAATAATAATAATCAAGGAGTCAGACTGGATCCACGTGAACCCCGCATCCCCAGGACTATGGGAAACATGATTTTTTTTATGTACAGGGTGTATCATAAGTCGCGCAAAATGTGTCTTTATTAAGGTAAAATAAGTCAAAATGAAAGAATAAATAATTTTCAATTTGACGGAATGCAATTAAAATAAATAAATGAATAATATATTAAATAAAATAATTCTACAAATAATATCATATAAAGTAGAATTTAAGTCATAAAATAAAGTGTATATAAAAGTAAATACAAACATACCTACATGGCAATAATATTGTTACTAGGAGGAGAAGGCGAACATTACATGTTGAGCCTAGAAGTTTGCTCAACCGAGGTGCAAGCTGAGGCTGAGCAACTGGGCGAAACATATGTGCCTTCTACTCCAAGTGATATACTATTTTTTCTTCAAGCGTCAAAATAAAAAAATTGCGACTTTAATTTCGAAAGCTGACATCAAATAGGTTCAATTTTGGCAATAAAAATAAAATATTGGTAATACTAACCATTTTATTTATTTTAAGCATAACACAGTACTAACTACTTTATTTATAAATTAAACATAGTATGACATTTTTAGTTCTTAAACTTCAAAATCTATATTACTTATAGGTCCACCATTATCAACTAAGATAGTTGCCGAGGTTCTTCTAAGGCTATAGCCCGTATATTCATGTGAATTTGGCAACTTTAAAAACAACGCAACATGTTTTGCAACGTTTGAAATTTTATGTATGCCCATCACAACACGATGACAATGAACATTTTGATATTTAATAAAAAATCTACCAAAAGTTATGTCTTTTGGCCGAAGAGTAGCATATTTTCTGTATAAATTTAAATAAACATCTTCAATTCTAGTAAATGAGCATTGTTTTTTAGTTTTTGTGTTGGGAATATTTACTAAGATGTAATCTCTCAAATGTTTTATATCATTAACTTTTATATGAACAAGTTCATCGCATCCACAAGCTCCTGTGACTCCAAATATTAGTACAACCTAAAAAATATACTAATGAATTTTATAAAATTAACAATTAGAAAGAGCAAAAAAAAAAGATAAAAGTACAGGATTCGAACCTGGGCCTTCAAATTACGAGTCCAACACTCTGACCACTGATTGTGAGCTATATCCGGACTAAATCAATGTATTCAATTCTTTTTATCTATTGTTTTCATAGCGGATAGATATAAATTAACTGGAATTTCACAAATTATAATAAAATTTTATATTATAGATATGAAAAGGTAAAATATATAATTTTAAAATGCGTACATACCTTTGTAGCTAAATATTTATCATTAGGTGCTTTATTAAGGAATTCATCAAACTTTTCTTTAGACAAAACTGTTGACTGTTTAGGTTTATAATTTTCGCATTGTCGCTTTAAAAAGGCAATTAATTTAGAATAGTTGTCAATTTTTACATTAGGTTCGATGTTTAATTTAGATTTTACCATTGAATATTGCGCCCATAGAGTTGAACTTTTCAGTTTTTTGGATAAACGTGTAAAATATGCTATCATCACATTTTCCGATTACATATGTAGGTACGTTGTTGTCCTTGGCCCATTTTATAAATTTATCGTACGCATTATCGTAAACTTTTTTGGATTTCGCGGGAATTAAGTAATGTTGCCACTGATGAATTTGCAATTTCAAGTAATTCAGGTGGTGTGCACTGCATTTTTTTCAGACATTTCTGCTTTTAAATTTGAAAACCGACCCGACGTGAAATTTAAAACTGACAGTTATGACAAGTCATAGCTACTTGGATTTTTAATTCGTTGTATAATAGGTACACTGCTGTGCAAAACTAAGTAGGGCAGCACTTATTACTGCACCTATAAGACTTAAAAAGCGAGATAAGAAGAAAGGAGTTTTAAAAGAAGGCCTTTAATTGGGAGACGGAGGATAAATGATAGTTGAATACGATCAGCAATTAGTAAATTATCTGCGTGGAAAAGCAGATATATTTATATTACATATATATTACACCACTACTGTCACTCTCCTACTTACTTTTGCACAGCAGTGTACATTGTTTCATTTTTGTCCTAGGAAAAAAATTAAAGATATTTGTATTAGTACAAAAATTGGCTCTTTCTCCAGGACGTGTTGCAATATATAATGTAAGTATTGTTATACGCTTGAAGAAAGAAATTATTTCTGATTCACATTCAGATATTCATTATTTCATTAGTAATATTTATTACACAACAATTGTTTAACATTAATTTTATAATTACTAATATTCAGCAATTTGTATAAATTGTACTCATTCACTTTAACTTTGCAGTGTTATTCAGGATGGGGAACAAAATGCGCGAACAAAACTGGGTGGGGCAATAGTGCGTCCGACTTCGATATCTCGAGCTCTATGATTGCTAGAAATTTGATTTAAAAACATAAGTAAACTAGACAAAAAAAGTCTATAACCGGAAATTATGTTCGAATATACAGGGTGAGCCAAGATGATTCTATAGGGTCACGTAACATTTTTTTAAATGAAATGTCATGTATATCAGAACTTTTTTTGAAACCCCTTTGTGGCCTCCTTTCACTCCTCTATTGTTACTGACTTTCTCCCAACCACTTGGATGTAACGTGTATATTAAAAATATCACTACTATGTTAGTACCAGTTAATAGACATCTGCTTGATGACACTTAGCCATTTTCACTTCCTACACATTTTTGTTTATAAATTTTGTGAGAATTACCTAACGTGGTGCATTTGTTTTGTAGTGGATAATTTTATACCAGTGCATATATGTATTTACCAAACCAAACCTCTGTAGCGTAAGGTTTTTCTAAATTTAAAATATCGAGTACATACTTACTTGAACGTTTTCTTAGTATTTAGTTACAAATGCTGCTCTAGTAGAGCCTTGACTAGTTCACTGGCAAAGATACCTGCCTAGTTATCTGGCAATTGATTAACTTTAAATTGTCTGTAGTAACATACAGTCAAGCTATATATAACTTTATTTGGAATTCATTATTACTTCACTACGAGGAACTAATAAATAATTTAACTGAATGTTACCTTTAATTTGACCATTATTATCATACTGTTTTATATTTAGCAAATATTTATTTACGTCCTCTTTCTATTTGTCTGTCTGTGTATAGACATTCTAAATTCTGTTTTCTTGAAGATTACCTTCTTTTAGTAAAAAATATATTAAAATATAGTAAATATCTATTTCACTTTGATTACTATCATAGCTGTACGTAGTTTATTTGTTGGACTAGTATTTTTTTTATTTAACGTAACTTTTATTGATAATTAAGTTAATGGATGTCTTCAACTTCCTAAGGTACTGTGGGATCCGAATCTTAGTTTGGTTAGTTTGCTATTTACTCTGTAAATTTGTGTTAACTTTCAAATTTTTTCTACGTAGCTGGACAATTTAAATGTTACAGCTTTTTATTTAAAAACAAATTAAGTTCCTCTTCTTGATAAAAGTTTAAATATAGAGTGGAATGAAAAATATTAACTGAAAATTTTTTGTTAATTATTATTTACTAACTTTTACAAATCTTATCACAGATAAGTATAACATATATCTTTTTAAACAATTATTTTCCTGGCAGTAGGGTATATATACCGGCCGACTCCTCCGACCTTGATCACATACGTATACGGGCATATGTTTCAAGGTCTTTGCGCCGCGGATTGAATGTCTATGACACACGTGTACGCGCGCTTTTGTCAAGGTCGTTGTTTTCTATTCCTCCGACCTCGATCGTACACGTATTAAGGTCGCAGCGTCTCATGCTACCACTCTTAACATGTGGATTTGAAGGATAAGAAAAAATATGTGTGTATTCGTGAATGGTGGGGTTTCGTGACGTAACTATGTGTTTGTAATAAATGGAGACGAAGTTGCGATGTAAAATCATATTTGTTTCGAATCGTCTACAGTTAATAGGTTTTGTGAGCATAGTGTTGTGATCTGAATATTTCTAAGTGAGCATTATTATATATTTTGTTGCAATTCTTTCACTTTATACAAAACTGTTTAATTAGACATGGCTGCAATTTCTGATATTGATTTATTAGCAATTAATGAACTTATCAATCAAGATACTTATCAGATTGTGGAACAGAGACCGATTTCTTCATTAATTATAAATAAGGCTTACCTAATAAAAAACATATCTCAGGTCACTACGCGGTTTGGAAAATCGCTCCTGGTAAATTTGTTTGATGAGAGTACAATTACACCGTTTAAATCATTTTTGCCAAAAAGAGTTGCAGAGGTTTTAAAGCCTGATATTATTGATAAAATAAATTCAGTAAAAGACAGATACACTTTGACTTATTTAGGTGAGCGCACTCCCATTTATCCAGGTGCAAAATCGAGTTCTTTATTAAAATTCTCTATTTTTGAATAATTTTTGTTATTTCGTAACAAAGAAAATAAATAAATTTATCATCATTTAGGATTATTTTAAAGTAGTAACTAGTTAGTAATTAGAATAGAGTGAAAGAAAGTTTATCATAAAACATAATGCTATTAGATCACTCATTAGCTCATATCAGCCAAATAAGTCAAAATTTACTTTAACAATTCTACGGTAATAGCATCCATGTAAGTCATTTAATAATATTTTATTTAAAATCAAAATTTTTACATCTAATTATTTAATTTCCAGACAAGTAGCAAATATGTGGATGTGTTATTCAGCTGAAGGATGGGTAAAAGCAGAAAATATTGGTACATCTATTCAAAGGTTGTGTTCTCAGTTAAGCGATCTAAGTATGGAATCGCTACATGCCGCAAATTATGATCTAAACTATTGTTTCGATAATGATGAAGTTCAACGTCTTATGGATGATTCTGAAAAATACAACTTGGGTGCAAACACATGTAAAAAATATATTAGAGGCATTTTAAATTTAGATGAATTTTGTGAAGAAATGGTTCAATTGGATTTGAAACGTTATCTGTATGAAATAGACAATTATTTGCCAAAGGAAATTATTGAAAAATACAATCTAGAAGAACAATCTGAAGATGATGAAAACACAGTCAATTAATTTGCATATATTCATATTTTCACTGAAATGTATTATTAGAATGTGTTTATAATAAAACATTGTGTATATTCTTATTTTCACTGAAATGTATCATTAGAATGTGTTTATAATAAAACATTGTGTATATTCTTATTTTCACTGCAAATGTATTATTAGAAAATATTTATAATAAAAAAATGAAATATGTGTGTATGTTTTTTTATTTTCTCTAGTTGCAGGTTAAAATCAAATAAATAAAACACTTGTTTATAGATTACATATATTTTTTTATTACATATTTGCTCAAATTACAAAATAATTATTACAATTAAGCATTAAATAAACATATTAATACAATAATTTTATATTTAAATATACAATACATTTATTAAGAAATTGATCATTTAGTAGAACATTGTGATCAAGGAGATGTTTTACTTGGAGCCAACAAAACCATTTTGAACAGAACCATCTAAGGCGCTGTAACTTAAGTATGCATCATGCAGTATAAGGGCATATACTCGAGTTTGTTCTGGAAACTTTGTTTTCCTGGTTTCAAATTCTATTTTTATGTCAACAGTTGATGATTTCATGGCATCCGGTTGGTGTGAGCAATCAAGGACAAACAGCGGATTTTTTCTGAATTCTCCAAGATCCATCATCGGTTCACCCATATCTTTGTCATAATAACTACGCTGGAAGCTTTCGTAGGCATAATAAGCGGCAGAATCCAATTTCTTATCGAAATCTAAATTCCAACGTTCATATGGGAACACTTCAGAGTTTAAATATAGACGAATATTGTTAATATCTGCATGTATAAACTGTGTGATATTCTTTGTTCTGTCATTGGAATAATTATTGTTTTGAAAACCTATAATGATATAGCGTGGCCTCTCGAGACTGCTAGTGGTTTTAACAGCCCATATATCTGAGGCTGTATCACGCAAACTAGGTAACTCATAAAGATCCCACATGCGGTATGCCATTTTAACTTTAGCATTGTAAGCACTCTTATTAATTCGATTCAATAGTTTAAGCTTTTGACGATCTTCAGGTACAATATGTCTTATCTTCCATTCAATCTTGTTAATTTCCAATTCAGCA